GGGGAGGGCGCATGTGTGATGGCAAACGGCTGCCTGTGTCTGCAGCAGTGCCCCAGTTAATCCCACTGTTGACAGCTCCAGTGCCACTCCCTCCCAGCATCCTGAGTCCCAGGGCTGGGACCCTGCAGGAGCCTTTCTGTGTTCTTTCAGGCCCGCAGCTTCCTTTTCCTCTCAAATCCTGCCCGACAGCCACTTTTCTGGGAATTCTTCAGATGTTGGGTGCTCCGAGGTTTCCGTGTCTTGTTTTTGAGTACAGGTAGGTTGATTGGGTTCTAAAAACGTTTCCAGTCCTTCTTAGGGACTTTGTGGGTGGGAGGGGGAGGGGGTGGTGTCTCCTCAGTTGATATCATAGCACATATGTATCACAGTGCAATTTTAATTTCTATTGCTTTTGGTTGCTAGTGGGTTTGAAAGCGCTGTTTACGCTATTCCTTTTCTAGGAGTAACATTTTAAACATCATCCCAATTATAACTTAGATCCTTAAAATTATAGGAGAAAACAGGAGACCAAGGATGAGAAGTCAGATGATGACATCCAAATGCGACGTGAACAATGGTAGCCAACATCCAGTGATTAACATGGAAAGGAAACCCTGGCAGCACAGTGGTTAAGAGCTCGCCTGCTAACCAAAAGGTCAGCAGTTTGAATCCACGAGGCGCTCCTTGGAAACCCTATGGGGCAGTTCTGCTCTGTCCTATAGGGTTGCTGTGAGTCGGAATCGACGGCAATGGGTTTGTTTGTTTGTCTTATGGCCTGAAGCAGGCCACTTCACTTCTGGACGGCTCCTACAGATAAGTTCCTCTTTCAAACATCTCAAGATTTACCTTTGCTGGTAAAACCAAAAGAACAGTTGCCACAGAGTTGATTCTGACTCACAGCGACCCTGCAAGCATCAGAGCAGATCTGTGCTCTGTAGGGTTTTCAATGGCTGGCATCTTATGAAAGGAGATCGCCAGGTCTTCCTAGGTGCCTCTGGGTAGATTCAAACCTCCAACCTTTCCATTAGTAACTGAGTGCCTTAACTGTGTGCACCTCCCGGGGATTCCACTCTTTTTTGCTAGTACCCACTTGTTCTTATACTTTCTCATAGTATCATACAGTATAGAGTTGATTCCTTTTTGGGGGCATATTATCAGCATTAATGTTTTCTCGTATTTCGTGGCTGCAAATGTCTCACCTCTGACGGGCTCCTTTGGAATGCTTATTACGACACCTCTTTATCAAGTGTGGTACCCAGTGTACAGCAGGGCAGATGCCTCCTTGTCGTGGATACTGCCTGTGCTAATACAACATTCCGTTGGTTGCTGACTCCTAGTATGTTTGTCCAAGCCCAAGCCCATTGCTGTCGAGTCGATTCCGACTCATAGCAATCCTATCAGACAGAGTAGAACTGTGGCTGGTGGATCTGAACTGCTGACCTTTTGGTTGGCAGCCAAGTTCTTAGCCACTGCGCCACCAGGGCTCCTGTGGTATGCTTGAGGGAACGAAAATATTTTTTCCCTTATATGTTTATTTCACTGTATTTCTCCCAGCTGTGAACTTGGACAATCTTTTGTTGTTTTCTTTTCATCCAAGAATCTGACTTTTACACTGTATCCCTATTATGTTTCATCTTGTGAGAGTCATTCCATCCACTCTAGGCTGTCAAAGCCTTCTGGATCCTGACTGCCATCCAATACGTTAGCCCTCCTTCTCTGAGTTGTGACACTCCCAGATGAGATGACTCCGCTTTGGGCCCTCGTCCAATCACTAGTAAAATGCAGAAGATAGAAGGCCAAGGGCCGAGCCCTCGAACACATTTCTCTAAAATTCAGGTCGTTTCAGAGAGAGAAAATGGATCACCGTGACCAGAAGATAAAGTAAACGGAGCATGTGTGCGCTGCCGGCATTGCCCTTAATTCAAAGGACCACACTTTGTAAAATGTGTAAAGGCAGGAGATTTAACATGTCCAATATGAGACTTACTGAAATAGGGCAGTCGCAGAGACCCCAGTGCTCGGTCGTGGGACATCACAAGTGATCCTTCCTGCCCCCGTTTTGCCCAGGTGAGCGTATAACCAAGTGAGGGGGAGGTCAATCTGCAAAGTAGACCTGTTCTATGACTCTCCATCCACTTCTAGAACTGGGCAGTGTGCAAAGAGAGGATTCTGAGGAGGGATCCGGGGAGGAGTGTATCTATGGAGAAAGCTGTGCTCGAACACCCCTGCACCCCGCCCTGCCTTCCCCTGCCACAGGTGTGCGCGGATGCCGCTGCGGGCACTGCCACGGGCGCGTGCAGACATCGGGGCGCGCGCGCACTGCCATGGGCGCATGTGGACGTCTGTGCACGCACTGCCACGGGCGCGTGCAGACATCGGGGCGCGCACTGCCATGGGTGCTCGTGGACGTCTGTGCACGCACTGCAACAGCAGTGAACTTGGTCCAGGTTCACAACACTTACGTTCATGGTGCAATTACAGAGTAACTGGACAAATAATCTGCAACGGTCTTACCGTAGATTTACTCAGAATGGTGCTTTTTTTCCCGTGTACTTTCATGCTATCAATAGTCATTGGGGGCTCAGTGTAGATTTCTCTTCCCTGCGGGAGACCCCGGTTCCTTTCCCAGCCAGTGTACCTCATGTGCAGCCACCACCCACCTGTTCGTGGAGGCTCACATGTTGCTAGGATGCTGAACAGGTTTCAGTGGAGCTTCCAGACTAAGACAGACTAGGAAGAAAGTTCTGGCAATCTACTTCCAAAAATCAGCCAGTGAAAACTCTCTGGATCACAATGGTCCGATCCCCAGTGATCATGGGGATGGTACAAGACTGGACAGACTTCCACTGCGCTGTGCATGGGGTCACGATGATTTGGGGGCTGACTTAACAGCAGCTAACAATAACAACAATGGTATAGTTTCTAAACTAATATCTGAAGATACGTTGTTGTTCTGTGCCATCGAGTTAATTCTGACTCATAGTGGCCCTGCATGACAGAGTAGAACTGCTCCATAGGGTTTCCAAGGCTGTAAACATTTCAGGAATAGATTGCCAGGTCTTTTCTCCCACAGAGCCACTGGTGGGTTTATACCGCTGACCGATCAGTTTGCAGCTGAGCGCTTAACCACTGTACCACCAGGGCTTCTACCTGAAGACACAGAGCTATTGTTTGTATTCATCATTAAATATTAAAAATATAAACCATTGTACATATTCAGACTATACATGTTATAATATGGTAAGTAATGTTTTCTTTGACATTTTGGAAATTCAATAAAAACAGTATTTCACCAGCTTCAGTCTCTAGACTGTTATTCTCTAGAACTGTTACAATTTACAACAACATAAAAATGCCTTCGTACTTAAGTCTTTATCCACTCTTTTAAAAGCACCTCTAATCTAATAGTCAGTGACTCAACTATCCACATCCACATGTCACGATTAAATAGAGATGAATAAAGCGAGGCTGTTTGCTAATCCACTTGGATTTCTCTACTTAAAAAAAAAAGTATAGGGAGAATCTACCTTAAAATAAAACTATACAATGGAGAGAAATTTAACAAACTAGTCAACTCATTGTTATGTTTTTTCTTTTTTTAAAGGTTTTTAAAAAAACTTTTTATAGCCTAGCCAAACTAGAAGAATAACAAATTATTTGTCCAACTTCCACTTCAGTTTTCCCATGTTTAGAAAACACCCCAAAATAAGTAAACGGTAGAAATTCTTTAATATCTAATTTTGGTAACTTAAACTGCTTTTTCTTTCTATAAGATCAAGTGCAAATGGGGAGAAGTTCTGTGTTGCCACCAATTCTTTATTGAAACTGGTAACTTGCACATTTTATAGCAGAACAACAAAAATAATGTTCAATATATACAGCCTTTGTATGGACTATTTGACTATACACAAGGCAGAGTGAGAACACAATCTAATCTTCATAATAATCTGTGCACAAAAAGACACCAAACAGACAACATGTGTGAACATTACAGTGAAATGACATCACAGGTCCAGTGAAAACTCAGAATACAAAACATACTCATCTATTGCAAATGGCGTCTCCCTAAACAGCCAGACATCAGTCAGTAGTAGTTCACCCGGAGTCTGAAGCAGAGATCTGTTGTGTGGTTATAAGTCTCTTAAGCGAGGCAACCTCTGCCGATAAGTTTGCTATCCCCTGCTTTAAATACAAATTCTCTGGGTCAGACACTCTGTAGACACTGTCTTTAATTTCAACCACTCCAGATTTGAAGCTGTTCTGGGTCTTGCCGATAAGTTCTTTCTGATGCCAGTGTTCTGATTTGAGAGACCAATCTTGGATGTTAGTCACCTGAACGGAGAAAGGAGTGAGAGCAGAATGTACCATATTCGGGGTGTTATGCTTTTCAAGTTCAAAATGTCTTTTTGATGTCATGTCGATAGCTGAGGACAGTTTCTGCGCGGCATCAAACTCACCATCTAACGCTTCCACCTTAATCTGCATGGCTTTGCCTTTGATCCGAAGCTTATGCGGCAACGCAGAAGAATTCACTTCTGGGACTTTAACCACTGTCGCGTGTCCATGTTTAAGTTCAACTGGAGAGTGGATGGGGCCCTTGGGAACCTGCTGTTCGTCTTCCCCATCGGATGACTTTCCGACCACCCCGTCATCGGTCTCTGATGTTCTTGGCGAGTTACTGGAGGAGCGGTTGACTTGTAACAGAGGCGGAGAGTGTGAGTAGCCAGGGAAAGAATTTCCTATGTAGTTCTGATAGATGGGCGTTGTCACCTCTCTGTCATCTCTCGTCTCTCTCGTATAGCTCTCCAACTCCATCGGCTCTTGTTTGATGATCTGGAATTTGTTTTCGGGACTTCTGCAGCTACTCTGAACAGGGCTCTCCTGAGTGTGTTCTACTGAGGACACCTCTGATCCGTCGGACAGAGACTGTGGGGAGTGCTTGATCACAGAAATACAGCTGCTGGCCACCATGGAGCGCTCATGCTCATCCACAAACGAGCTAACGTTAGATTTGGAAGTCGGATAGTCTTGAAAGTACACAGCCGTAGAATTACTGAGTTTCTGAATCTCTTGAGCATATGCTGTGGAGCTAATTAAACCAAACTTTAGTTTCAGCGAAAGCAGTTCAGCCTTTAAAGTGGCGTTTTCCTCTCCCAGAGCGATCAGTTTGTTCTCTAGAACCAGGTCATTGAGTCGACGCTTCTCGCGGGACCTTTTGGCAGCTTCGTTGTTTTTCCGCCTTTTCTCCCAATACATGGCATCCTTCTTCTCGTCGGGAATGAACTCCCGCTTCCTCCGGCACGCTGAAGATTTGTTTTTCCCCACACTTCCTTCATTCAGTAGGAGGTCTTCCCCAGTCGTCAGGTCTTCAGACACTTCAGTTAGAGCAGAACTAAGTACTATCATCTTGTCCACATTACTACTAGTGTCAATTGGTGCCTGCTCCTTTTTGACGGTCTGCATGGTTCTTAGCTGCATCAGAACCAGCCTTTACCTATATGTATGGTGGAGGAGAACAAATTATTGGCCCAGTGTCCTCAAACTCTTTAAAAACTGTGGTTTGAAATCCTTTCACATTCTTCCTTTCGCTTCTACAGTCCAGGATAAATCTCTCAGGCCCCTCTTGCTGAATGGAGTAGGTGTCTTCCAGGTTATCTGCAAGACATTAAAAGAGACAGTTATCCACTTGATAGATACTGATGATCAATGAACGCGGGACGAAGCTAAGCATTCAAGGGTATACAGGTATCAACAAGACACAGTTCTTGCCTTCAAGGAGTTTACAGTCTCGAGGAGGAAACAAGTACCCAAATTACAACTATTAAAGCTGCAAAAGACAAATAACCAAATAAGCTACATCAGCCAGAGGGCTGTGTGGTTCAAGAGAGTGACAGAAAAGTATCTGCCATAGGAGACAGAGAGGAAGGCTGGATTTAAAAAGGAGAAATGGTTGGGCGTGGATGTACGGATGGGACATTACCGGAAGGAAATGATAGACTGCCTATGGTTGATAAGTTTTTAAAATAATTCTTGCGTACTGTGATGCTTCTGAATAATTTTAGATAACATCTTATCACTGCAAAGCAAACAAACTCGCCTCCTAAAAATAACTTTACCAAGTAAACTCGTTTAACACCAGTACATGGATTTTTCAATCACTGTACATGAAATACAGTGATTGTATTTTTATCTCCACAAAAACTAAAACAAAGGCCACATACATGACTGAGTACTTGTAGTATTTTTAATCCAACCCTTAATGCAGACATAACTATGTCCACCCCATCCCTGACTAAGTGACATGGGCTTATATCCCAGCTCCTTCCACCATGTGACTTGCCACACCCAAATGAAAAGGATTCTTCTAAATAAAGCCATCTCTTCCCAAGCATCTGTGCTATCAGATTCTTTTTTTCTGGTTCCTTCAAATTGATTTATCCAACAGTCATTTAAGATCGAAGCATCCAAAATGCTTTTTGTGGTCTTGAAAATTCTGTCATAAGAGATTTCAGTTATACGGTAACTTTGGACTAAAACAAACAGCCATGAGTCAAAGGAATTAGTGCATTCTTTTTTTTTATTGTTGTGCTTTAAGTGAAAGTTTACAATTCAAGTTAGTCTCTCATATAAAAGTTTATACATACATTGTTATGTGACCCTAATTGCTCTCCCTATACTGACGGCACACTCCTCCTTTCCACCCCAGATTTCCCGTGTCCATTCAACCACCTTTCTGACCCTCTCTGCCTTCTCATCTCACCTCCGGACAGGAGCGGCTCATTTAGTCTCATGTATCTACTTGCGCTAAGAAGCACATTCTTCACGAGTATCATTTTATGTCCCACAGTCTGGTCTAATCTTTGTCAGTACAGTGCATTCTTGAAAGCTAAAATTCATTTTAAACTGAGAGAATATGATTATGGAAAGAATTTTTCATTTTTAGTGATGAGTTTCAAAGAAAATACAAGAACTCAGAAACAGAACCATCTACTAGCTTCCTCTTCCACTGATGAAATATTTATAATCTGAATTTGGCTTCACATCTAGTTTCACGTTAGATAATAAATCCATTTCATGTTCCAATAACAATCTTTTTGTGGTGGATTATGGATCTGCTTCTAGATAACGGCTTCTATTTCCTAATTTTCATAAAGTAGATGTGATGAGACAACTCTTCATTCATGACTTTGTGTGTACAGTGACATTCTATCCTGCCGTATTAAAAAAGCTTTGATGTGTTTTTTTGTTTTACATCGCTATTTCTTATGCATAGTTTTAGAATGACTGATGAAGTGAAGTTTAATTTTATCAGCTGGAAGAGCCTGCCGGCTTCTCTTGTCTTTTCCAGAAGGAGCAGAAAAAATGATTTAATAATTTACAGGATCATAACGAATAAGGTTTCATGCCACGTTCCTGCCCATCAAACTAAGCCAACACGGGTAAAGGAACAGCTAGTCACAGCTTACCGCAATCCGGGCTTACTAACACCAAGTTTCTGTTTGGTTTTTGATGACAAAACTCTTAACGGGAAATGAATGGAAAGAATCTCTCATACAGTAGACACTGATGTTTTAGAAAAGAAATCTTTCTAGTTACCGCTTAGCAAAACACTACTACTGCCTGCATTTCCATTTAGGTTTTGTCTTCTAACATGAAAACTCATTTTTCTCTACCTATTGAATGAATTCTTTCCTCCTGTTAAAGATTTCTATTCAGGTAATTCAGGCAGGTCCCCACACCTAAAGTAAAATTAGCGTTGAAGCAAAGAGTTAGGAATTCCAGCTAAAGGAAAACAATTACATTGATCTTTTGCAATGTGCCTCTCCAAATCTCCGCTATATCTCAGATACTACCTTTTTTCTGATTATTTTGGTAATATTCTATGGTCCCTTCTCCAGTATCAGTTGCTGTCAAGGTGACTCCAACTCATAGCAACCCCATGTGTACCAGGCCTTTTTTCTGAAGTGCCTCTGGGTGGACTTGAACCATCAACCTTTTAGTTAGCAGCTGAGCATGTTAACTGTTTGCACCACCCAGGGACTCCTAAAGTCCCTTACACACTATTATTCCAGGGATTTTCTTTCTCTTCCATGAACTCTTATTTGCCCCTTCCTTTAAAAAAAAAAAAAAAAAAAAATCACATTCCTTTCACATTCTTGCCTCCTCTAGTTTTACAGTTATGCCTTGGAAATGCCCTGCCATTCTGTCTGTTCTAGTCACTCTTCCTAAACATTTCATTATTTCTAGCCACACAGAGTGAGCTTCCTGGTTCAAAGGCATACACTATGTGTGTGTGTCGGTTGGGGTACGAGGCGGTGGATGAGGCAGCAGTGGTCACGTTGCGTAGGGAAAATAATTCTACCTGCAGTTCCATTTAACTTAAATATTCCATTTGTCTTACAGGTCCTTTAACCCATTTCTCCTAGGTGCCTGTCTTAGTCATCCCGTGCTGCTATAACAGAAATACCACAAGTGGATGGCTTTAACAAAGAGAAGTTTATTCTCTCACAGTCTCGTAGGCTACAAGGCCAAATTCAGGGCGTCAGCTCCAGGGGAAGGCTTTCTCTCTCTGTCGGCCTTCTCATCAACGTTCCCCCAGACTAGGAGCTTCTCTGCGCAGGGACCCCGGTCCAAAGGATGCGCTCTGCTCCTGGCACTGCTTTCTTGGTGGTATGAGGTCCCCCTGTCTCTCTGCTCACTTCTCCCTTTTATATCTCAAGAGATTGCCTCAGGACACAATCCAATCTTGTAGATTGAGTCCTGCCTCACTAACACAAGTGGGGCCCATCCTCCCTCATTAACATCATAAAGGCAGGATTTACAACATACAGGAAAATCACACAATACCAGGAATCATGGCGTAGCCAAATTGATACACACGTTTTTGGGGGGACATAATCCATGACAGTGACTAAGTACTATAAACCCACTTTATCATCTTTACAACTCTGTTGGTGCATTCAAAACCTACAGAATGCCTAATTTCTTTTTAGTTAATCTTCTTCTAGGAAGACGAATTTTGAATTTCACTCCCTGTACCATAAATCTGAGATTCCTTCATCTACAAGTACAGAATGTATTGTCTCTAGAGCTTGATTGGCAAAATCACCACATAATTGTCTTAGGATATTTTCTGCAATATTATTTATAAAATAATCTAGCAGTGTTGCAAAAGAGTTTATCAGCACTGTGAGATCATGTAGAGAGAGATGCTGATTTTGCACACTGTGTACCTTTCTACAAGCTTGTCTTGTATGTCCCAACTAGACTGCAAATGTTTCAGGGCAGAAATTAATGCATATTTATATCCTTCTGGCAACCAACTGAACCTATTAGGGGCTCGACATCTGACTGGTAGTCATTTATCTAAGAGTTTTGTGACCAAAAAACTTCTGATACTTTTTTTTCTTCAAATCAGTATTATTGTGTAAATCTTAAGGAAGATATTTTGCTTATTAACAAAGAGTGTCTCTTATTCATTAATTGATTCATCCGACACACGCGGCACACCAACTGTGCTTCCGGCACTGAGTTAAACTGGGCGCACGTAAAGATGGAGGGAGAACCAGACTCTCAAGGTTCAAGGAACTCCCTGTCTAGGGTGGGAGACAAACATGATGTGGTACAGTGAATTGCTTTAATACAGCCCTCCGAGTCATGGTCTTGTAACTCCCACAAAATGACTGGGTGGGACTATGCAAACAAGGCATTTATGGCCCACCAAGGGGACTGGACAGCCTGCTAATAATGCAAATAAAGTGCATGGAACCCTTGCAGGGGATGGCACTATGCAAATAAAGTACCTGGAACCTTGTAGGGGATTGGTCAGTTTTGCCATCCCGCTAGGTTTAAAAAGAGCCAATCCCAGAGTGAGGGAGGGGGGCCTCACTACCCATCAAGAAGAAGAGCCAGGAGTGGAGCATATCTTTTGAACCCCGGGTGCCTGTGCTGAGAACTTCCTAGACCCAAGGGACTGAGAGAGGTGTAACACAGGAGACAGCGTGAGACAGTGAGAAGGAGCAGCAAGGACGACAGAATCCAGTGGCAGAAAAATGGTGGCAGCAGAACCAGGAGACCAGTGCGAGACAGCACGGTGGGCTTCCCAGCCTGCAGAACAAGGCAGCTACAGTGGGCATGCCAACCCATGGAACGAGAGAGCTGAGCGCCTTTGAACAGGAGGCTTCCTGGCAGAGTGGAGTGCCTCTGGGCACTTACTGGCAGAGCTAAACAGCTTTGTAACACTTGCCCGAACAGGGCAGAGGCCAGGCTGAGGGCTGAGGGCCAAGAGAGGAGGCCTGTCCTCACAGGGCCAAGAAGAGCCTGTCCTGAGGGACCTGAGAGGACCCTGTCCTGAGGGGGCTGAGGAGCCTGTCCTGAGGGGGCTGAGAGGGGCCTGTCTTGAGGGGGCCGAGAGGAGCCTGTCCTGAGGGACCTGAGAGGACCCTGTCCTGAGGGGGCTGAGGAGCCTGTCCTGAGGGAGCTGAGAGGGGCCTGTCTTCAGGCGGCCGAGAGGAGCCTGTCCTAAAGGGGGCCGAGAGGAGCCTGTCCTAAAGGGGGCCAAGAGGAGTCTGTCCACAGGGGCCGAGAGGAGTCTGTCTTGAGGGGGCCGAGAGAACCCTGTCCTGAGGAGGCCGAGAGAAGCCTGTCCTGAGGGGGCCGAGAGGAGCCTGTCCTGAGGGGGCCGAGAGGAGCCCGTCCGAAAGGGGGCCGAGAGGGGCCCGTCCTCAGGGGGACCGAGAGGAGCCCATCCGAAAGGGGGCCGAGAGGGGCCTGTCCTCAGGGGGCCGAGGGGAGTCTGTCCTCAGGGGGCCGAGAGGAGCCCTGCACAGCTGAGGGAAGCTGAGAGAGCTATACTGCATCAAAGAAGGGAGACTTTGCCTACATGCTTTCTGATCCTGATCACAGGTTGCAGCCTGTTGATTCTGATCCTGAGTTGTGCCCTGTTACTTCCCTAATTAACCCCACATCTGTGACTATGGTCTGTGAGTTCTATGTGGCCATTGCAACGAATTATCGAATCCAGCAGAGAAGTAGGGAGTGCCGTGGGAGGGACGGCTGGTGTCAGAACTGGTAAAGATGACAGAGAGAGGAGGCATGTGTGACCTCTGCCTCATAGGAATCGGCTTTGGGGTGATGTTGATGTTGATTTTCCTCTCTCCCCCTGAAGTCAGATGAGGAGGTCTGACAACACATCATTTTTACACACGAGAACACTGGTAAGTGAGGCACGTGCAAGGAGTTACACCAGCACAGGGCCTGTTACACAGCTCACGTGATTTCCAGCAGCACTGCTCTTTTCTTGGTACTGTGATAATGACAAAAACAAAAACAGC